CTCACAGTTGGACGAAAGGGCTGTCCAGTTCTTCCAGGTTCTCAATGATGGTTCTAACATCAATCGGTCCATGATCACAATCATAAAGAGTTTAAACTTTTGTGTTTAGTCATATTTAACTTGAATTGTTAGTTATTTCGTGTTTATCATGTTAAAGAAATAAACAAATCAACGTATGCTCATTAGTGATTGACTTCAAGATATATATCCTGAACTTCAAGTGAGAAGCAGTGACCAGTGGAGTTCATCCAGGTCTGTTGTGAGATATCAACTCACTGATGACAATGATGGACGTGTCGCTTAATTTCGTGGATCAGTTGGAGTTAGATATTAACAACGTCGGATGCTAGCCGGCTCAGTGGTCTAGTTGGTTAAGCGCCTGGTGCTAGACTGTTAGGTCCTCGGTTCGAGTCCCGCGAGGTGGGGTCGTGGATGCTCATCGCTGAGGAGTCCCACAATATGACAGAACGGTCATTCAGTGTTTCAAGGTTTTGCGTGGTTGTCTAGCTTCAATTGACACATGATCTCAACTGTTTAAATTACTACAATCTTCACAAAATCCCTTCTGATACTAAAAATAAATGTATCCTAATATACATCTGTTTACAAATACATTCCTATAATAAGTGTAAATACTTATTATTTGTGTATTTAACTGGAAACAAATATGGTCAATAATGGTTTTTCTTTTCTTTATCTCCCTCTTATTTATTATGATCTAATTAGTGGATAATTCTTTAGAATAAAAAGAGATTTTATACAACTGTTATAACTATCTACATGCACTTTTAATAACATGGTTATTATAAAACTATGATAAAGACACTTAAATAGAAGTTGATTCATTATAACCTCTTTATGTATTTATTTATTTGTTTGTTTTATGTTGCCGTTTATTTCAAATGGAATTCATTTAAGCTTTAATTTATAGGGCATTTATACAATTTTAATGACTTGTGAAACTATTCAGTAACATTAGGCTGAATATGTTTATTTATATTCTAAGTGATCTATCTTGATAAATAAATGTTAATTTCATTTAATAAATAAAAAGGTAGGATGTATTGAATGTAAATTCAATATTTCACCTGGTAATATCTGGTTCAAGTTTTTTTTTCTTTTTTTTTTCAAGGAAATATCAGTATTACTGAATAACCTTTTTCTTCTTTAATGTCTCATTTCAACTTGATCATGCAAATATACTATGAAATTATTTGATCAAATTCAAACGAAAGTTCTTATATGTTTAAACATCGTTTCTTTGTTTTAGTTATTTGTAAGTTATTGATTCATTTGTGAGAAATATATAAACCACATAGAACATCAATTGGAATTAGTTTAATTGAAGTATATTGGTTGAAGTTAGAAATTAACAATGTCGGGTGCCGGCCTGTTCAGTAGTCTAGTGGTTCAGTGCTCATGTGCGAGACTGCTAGGTTCTGGGTTCGAATGTCGCGAGTGGGATCGTGGATGCGCACTGCTGAGGAGTTTGACAATAGGATGAAACAGACATCCAGTACTTTCAGTTTTTCCATGTTGGTCTAGTTTCAATTGACTCATGATCTTAACTATTGAAATTACTACAATCTCCACAAAACCTCTTTCTGTGAATATATTGATAAGTTATAAAAATTATGTGGAATATTTTATTTTTTTAAATGATTGCCCATTTCTGTTCATGGTATTATTCTTATTAGTTATATATGTTAATGATCGTAAGGAAAGAAAAGAGTTTCCTTTCAGATTTGCCTTTCCACAAACCAATAAACATAACTATATTAATGGAGAATATTCTTTTTAATGATTTCTCATCAGGTTCTACAATTATCATGTCCAAATTAATAATCCATAAAATTGGCCAAGTTTAAGGTAGAGTACATTAATTAAGATTGTAACATGTAAATTAAAGATTGTCATATAAAATTATATCAAATCAAATCGTTGTTACTCAGATCAAAAAGACAGAGCTTTCCATCCTAAAGAAATATATTCAGCTGTTCCCTTTACCCTGGTCAACTTTGGGCCCAACTAATTAATAATCAATTTTATGATATGGTGACGTAATTTGATTGATGGTCATTTTTATATCCTAAACTTATCTTATTCACACATCTTACATCATGAACCGATTGATGCTAGACCACCATTGAAAACCTGGAAGAACTGGACGACCGTTTCGTCCTATTGTAGGGCTCCTCAGCAGTGCGCATCCACGATCCTGCCAGTGGGACTCGAACGGAGGGCCTTCAGTTTCGCACACGAACGCCTAACCCACTGGACCACTGAGCCGGCATCCAATGGTGTTAATGTCTAACCTCAAACAACCCACGAAATTGCGCGACCATCTTCCATTGTACTGAGGTAGAAACCTGTTTCTACCCGACACGTAATAGCTCCACTAGTCATGGCTTCTCGCCAGAACTCCGAAACGGCCGTCCAGTGCTTCCAGGTTTTCAATGGTGGTCTAAAATCAATCGGATCGTGATGTCAATCAAAAACTTAACAATCTCCATAGCGCCTTTAGTGATATCATTATATGGTTAATATTATTATTAAACGTATTTAACTGACTTTTTTATGACGGCGTTTTTTACATAGCATCAAAAATCCCATGGTACCAAATACCAAGGTTTACATCAATTCATAAACAAACTTCAAGTCACTTAAGAAAAAATGGAATAGTGGTTAACAGAAAAATTCATGCTACCTGTTTATTCCCATTTAATACTCTTTAACCAAATGTATTTAACTCTGTTTTTGTATTTATACTAGGACTCGAACACGATATCTTGATGCAGTTAATTTATTTTTAAAATTAAAATAAAACACTAATAACAATATTTACAGAATATAATGAATTCATTGTATTTCGTTGCTATCTCACCAACCGCACTCAAGTTACTATAATTCGTTATTTCTAGTTGATAATATAATGTGTAATGTGAAAGAATTTGAGAACTAAAGTATTACAGGGGTTGCTTTGATAATTGTTTAATGTATAAGTTCTAAAATGTTAAAACAACAACATGATTGAGTTATGATTAAATTTGGTTGAAGAAAAGACTAAATAATACCATGGTAGTTGAAGATTAGCTACTGACCCTTTTCAACTATAAAAGTTAGATTTTATTCTTTTGATTATTATGGGTTTTTCAAAGTTTAGAAGAGTGGAATTTGACTGTTTATTAATAATTTTAAATGAGTTCATTGGATCTGTATTGTGTCTTTTATTTAGCAGGTGGTGTGCTATTGAACTCCATAAGTAACTTTTAGCTCCAATGCGTACGTTCTTACGGATATTCTCAATAAAACAAATAGAATCCTATTTTCCTGTTTATCTTAGGTAAACTATATTTTATATATACATGTAGATTGCTATCTGGATTTGGAAGAATCATTTAATGAATATTCATCTACTTTTATTCGTATAATTAAATATATTGGTATTAACCTCACAGCAAGGAATGTACTTTTTTTTAGAAATACCTTAAGTCTATAATTGATTCTATTCATTATTTGATTATATATGAATGAAAGTTGAATAAAAAAACATTCTTATTCTTCTTCTTTTCAGGTTCACCTTCTTTCATCATGTCTTGGTATTTATTACCATATTTATTTATAATTGATTCTGAAAAGATTTTAACTTCAAATGTTTCATTCTGATCATGTTATTCTATTATTGAATTTTCAATGATTCAAAACATATGTCATTTCAACATATATTTATCTGGTATATCTTGTAAAGAAAAATAATATACTGAAACTATTCTTAAAGACTTCTATAGATCTAAAGAAGACAATTTTTAAGGATCAGTAATGTTAACATTCATTTCTGATGATTTCAAGGTGTTTCATTGATTCCCATATTATAATATCTGATCATGTTGTTGTGAGTACTACAGTTTTAATTAATTTTTCTGAAAAGTCTTAGCAGATTTATTCTACAAATATCTTCTATAAATAATTAAATAAACTATTGTACATAGCTGTAAAATGGTACGAATGAATTCATAATTACTTACTTTAAATAGAAACAACATATTTTCGAGGATAAAATGTTTTCTTTCTTTTGACTAACAGAAACGCTGTACTATCACTGTATTAATATAAGATAATGTGATGAATAAGTTTTTTATGTTACTATGCATAACAATGTGGGCGAGACTCTAATTAATGGACGAGCCAATCAGAAGCGTTTGAGGGATCTCAAGGTTACGGCGCCAACTTCAATGCTTAATATTAACGTACGATCGATTCACAGGGAATTCTGTACAAAAAGTGATAATTGAGCGGCTATAACAAATAAAATGGTGAGACTATAATTTGTGGAAGAATCAATCAGGTATAAGATAATAGATCTCGGATTTTAACGCGAAAGCCTTTCATCCATTTGGATAAATAGATTTCTCGCATTATGGCTGATGTCAGTTGGTGATGAAAACCCCATATATAATTCCTAACTACGGCAAATTATGACAATTGTTGTGAACCGGATATTAAGAGCACCAGTATTACTGGTTGCTGCAATGTACTACAATATATATGAATGATTGGATAGCGTATAAACTCCTACATAGGCTTAGTTATGTGCATCATGTCGTTATGCACAAGTGGCATTTTGTCTACTCAACAGTCGAAGTACACATAAACAATATTGGAACTATGTAGTCGAGGCTGGAAGAGTTTTTGAGACGTTAACATGGCTCCATAGGCTGACTATTCTGTAGCCGTATGGATGATTTCATCTACTGCATGCATTATGATTTTAGAACCACTGAACCTCTTTCTAACCTTGACAAGTGTTTGAACCAAGTATAAGACATGTATCCACTTTATTTCCTTGGTTTTGTATAATATATTTTTACTCTATACTTGTTGTTTGCTGGTTGGATAATATTTCTCGAAGTCACTTGAACTTCGTTCAAAGGTCGTTCATAAATTAGAGTCTCGCCTCAATATATACAAATTATTAGCTAATTCTTAAACGTAAGTCTCATCACAAACTTATTACATAATATCATTCCATGTTCTAGTTTAATTTTTCATCATATTCATTTCAAGATCGAAGTCTTACATATAAATACAAAGAGCTTCGATAATAAATCATTCAATGGATTGTTTTACAATAATCCTGATAACAATTATTCTACTATTCTATTTTTAAACATTCTTCTTCTTCTTCTTTTTTCTTCATCAATTCCGTTTTTCATTTTCAATTTCTTTTCAAAAGTAAGTTCGCCAATTTGATATTTCGTTATTGAAATATTTCGATTTTCTAAGTACCTTTGTTCAACTCCGCCTCAAGGCCAAAGGAAAAGAGGAAGACCAAAGAACACATTACGCCGAGAAATGGAGATAGACATGAGAAAAATGAACAAGAATTGGATGGAACTAGAAAAGAAGGCCCATGACAGAGTGGGTTGGAGAATGCTGGTCGGCAGCCTATGCTCCATTAGGAGTAACAGGCGTAAGTAAGTATCTTTGTTCAAGTCTAATTAAATATATTTAAATAATTATTTTGTATTATTAAAAATATGTATGAAATTAGTTTTTATCATAATTACGACAATATGATATGTGACAATCAGAAAATAGACATACATATGCTACTGTATGATTCATTTAAAAGTGATCGGCTGATAATTTTATGTAAAGCTTGGTGATAAAGATTCAACTTACACAAAAAACATTAGCTTTCTTAAGAGTTCAAGTACATTTTGTTGATGATTGATAGATAACCTATTTACAGGACGTTTGCTGATTACATCCAACTAATAACATAGTATAGTGTATCCAGCATCGAATCATATAGACTAGTGGGAATATTGTAACTTGGTTGATTGATTTCGATCAGCACTGTAAACATGAGAAAAGGTACTACTCAGTAAAGAAATAATGAAACTATTTCACACCATATGGATATCTGAAAGAAAGAAATGGTGTAAATTATGAAAGAGTAAATATTCATCATACTGTAATATATTCTGTTTATATTGACAGATGTAAGTAATATGTAACACCGATTGAAAGTGAAATACTTGCTTTACTTCAAATATTGAAATTTCTAAAAATTTCCACAAAACCTCTTCTGATAATAATCATCTGCTCACTAATGACTGACTTCAGGAGATACTCCTGGAGTTCTAGTGACACATCAACTCACTGAAGACAATGGTTTACAGTGGCGCAACTTCATGGATTGGTTGAAGCTAAACATTAACACCGTTGGATGCAAGCTCAGTGGTCTAGTTGGTTAAGCGCCTGGCGCGAGACTGAAAGGTTCTCGGTTGGAAACCCTTGGGGTGCGAGATCGTAGACGCGCACTGCTGAGGTGTCCCATACTAGGACGAGTTGGCCGTCCAGTGTTTCCAGCTTTTCCATGGTGGTCCAGCTTTAATTGATTCATGATTTCAACTATTGGAATTTCTAAAAATCACCACAAAACCCCTTCTGAAGAAAGAATAGACTTGAAAGAACAGAAAGGATCTGGAATAGAAAACAGAATTGCAAAAAGTCATAAACAATGTAAAGGACAACTGAAAGATGTGCAAATGATGTATTCATTGTATGATTTTCACATTTTACTAAACTATTGTGTGATTGTTTATTTTACAATTAATTGGTCTTTTCCACCTGAGTTCTCGTTCACTACAATACTAATTTAATTCAACTGTACACAATTCATGAATTAACATAATGAACCATCAATATCTCCAGTAATTCGATGTCTATTTTCAAATTGATTAACTACAAAAGTCATGATTTCACAGCAAATAAGCTGAGTCTATGAAAAAAATGTTATTTCCATTTATTGTAAATTGGTCAACAACAATATGTTTTGTTGTTGTAGATGAACTTATGAATAAATATCAGCATTACGTTACTCAGAAGTCTGATGTTGATTAGATGACCATCGAAAACCAGAAAATAATTGTTATCTGTTTCGTTCTAGTATAGGACCTCTTAAAAGGTATACATCCACGACCGTACAAGGGATGGAATCCATAACATTTAGGTCTTGTGATAAGATCGGGTTTTTAAACTAAGATCGATTCGTGATATGGATTATAAAATCCAACACCTAATTAGTAAAATATCTTACGATAGAACTTTGTACAATAATTAGTGTACCTTTCATATGCTATCTATTTTTCATTTAGGAATAATTCGATCAATTTTCTTGTGTGCTTATGCCAAGTTAATAACCTTATGAATATGAGAGTTCAACGGATTCATTCTGTCAACTATGTGGTGCATTGATTTGTATGTAAATGATGTCAACTAATGGAAGTTTATACATTTATTTTTATCTACTTACTTTAAAGCAATGACTTATTGATCATTTTCATGTCATTTACTTATAGTTATTAACATTTCTTTGGAGAAAGTAAATTACATATGCCTTCAGATTACTTTTCTTATTTATATTCCCTTTATTATACCACTAAATATAAGTACCTGGACGAGATTTACTACCGTTTTTTCTCATACAAAGATGTCTGCTTATATATTCACATATTGTACGCTTTTGTTTACTTTATGGATTATATCTTTATAATCACTTTCTGTAATGAGTGTTGATATGAATAATGTTATGTAATAGGAACAATTGAAATCCCCATGTAATTGAGAAAACGTTTTGGGTAATTCGTAGATGCTACATTCTTGATTAAAATAAGTGATTATAATGAAAAATTGAAAAAAGTTATATTTTTTATCAGTGGTGGACTAACCTTATGAATATTGCTTGTCTAGTACTTAAAGTTTTTGTTAACGTTTATAATATATTGAGGTATATATGAATCAATAATTTACAGTGGAATATTTTTCAGATCATTTTGTGGTCTGGTATCGAACTCCAGTTAGATTGTATGTTGATGTTTTAAAAATATACATAATTATCGACTTGATTCACGTAAGAGAATAACGGAACAAATAAGTTGAGTATGAGAATACATTTTGAACACGTGTACATCGTACACTCGTTGTTCTGGACAGACAACCAAAGAAACGAAACGGAGAGGATGAAATGAAACGAAACGAAGAAAGTGAGTGAGCGAACTCGATTTGACCGACCATAACTCAACATTCATAGTCAGACAAAACTAGGCTACAGGCGTGCGATGAGTAGGTTAAGCAATGTATACAAATATCCTTATATAAAAATAGTCAAGGTTCATAAGCGAATAATTGACAACGTCAAAATGTAACTTGAAAAGAATGAATAAATCGGTCTTTCCGAAAGCTAGAATAACCCATTTGACCTTGACATAGTACCAGCCGCTACAATTTATATACTGAAGAAATTAACATAAATAAACATACTAAGTAATATACTATATTTCTATTATTTACATATATGAAACATTAATTACTCGTTTCAGTAAATATACAAGTAAAATTAGTGTTGATCATCATCTCTCATTACTTTGTGTATAAAAGAGATTTGTTTATTTACTTTCTAATTCAATATTCCATTACTATACTCAACTGTTATGTTTATGATTGATTAATTTGTTGATAAACAATTGTAATCATGTTATTCTATGAATTCCCGGTTATATTTAAGCTAAATGAACAGTGATTCATCGATCATGCTTGTAGATATATAAATTAATCTCAAATAATAGCAGCTTCAATAACATGACAAGTTCTTATAGAACATCAATTCACAATTAAAACTAATATACATGAAATGCACATTTTTACGTTATATGTTACATAAATCACATTGTTACAATCATGTAAACAACTGATATTATTAGAATTGTTAAATAAATCATATTTTACACATGTAACAAACCAAAATATAACTTAATTCATTGTATTCGATAAATGTACAAGTTTACCTAGAATTTGGCCATGGTCAAGTTTGTTTGACGTCCTGGTGATATGTACTATGGGACTGATCCCTAGAAGTAAGTGCCCCCAAATGCCCTGATACGACCGAGAGTGGGGAGAGTTCGCTCTTCCTCTTGAAATGCCCATACATGGCCACGCGTATATATCCTCTGCCAGGAAGTCCTATTCACTGACTTCTCGTGGCGGGAGTGTTGTTTATGAAATTGGGAGGACGAAAAATGAATGTCCGGCGCTTTATCAGGTTGGTGGACACGGAGAGTCCACCTAGGGGAGTTTGAAAACCCTGATTCCAAATCAATGGTGTACATGAGTTTCAGTATCCTGAAGAAACAAATGGTGTGTGGACCAATCGTTGGTAACTGGCTTCCATGGGACTGCATCTCCTAGCATTGCTCCAATGCCTTGTGGATCAGACCTTTAAGTTGAAGGCTTCGGGTGTGGCCCCCTAAAAAAACCAACTGCCTCGGTTTGGGCACCCGAGCAGTATCACAGCCCTCACATATATCAAATGAGATTTGTGTGGCGCATATGTATTTGGTGCCTCCTTGTACTAATGTCTATGTGTTAAAATAAATAAATAAATAAATTACCTATAAGCATAAATGATTAAGAAAGATGACTGAAAATTTTAATTTCAGTGAAGGTAGATTAATGAGACTTTGGTGGTCCCTTATTTGTCTCCATTTGGATTATATGAATGTTATGGAAGTTCATATGTCTGTAGCTTATTTTTGTGTGACTAAAAATATCGATTAACGCTTAATTAAATGGAGTTGGTTCACTTGTCTTCTCCGCTGCTTGTCATTTCGGTGATCGGAAAAAAATATTTAAATATGAATCGTTCAAGCAACTATCCAATTTTGATTTTGGTTAACACATCATTGTGTTTTACTCATCCATCTTATACAAACATCTAAACTAATCAACAAACATAAAAATCGATTATTTAGTTTCACTGGTTAAGATTATGAGTCAGTTGAAGCTAGACCATCATGGAAAACCTGGAAGGACTGGACGGCTGTTTCGTTCTACTATGGGACTCCTCAGTAGTGCGCATCCATGACCCCGCCTCACGGGGTTCAAAGCCTTTACCTATCAGTCTGGCGCACGAGCGCTTAACCACTGAGCCGGCCGGCATCCGACGGTATTAATGTCTAACTTCAACTAATCCACGAAATTGAGCGACACATCCGCCGGCTCAGTGGTCTAGTGGTTAAGTGCTCGCTCGCGAAACCAGTACGTTGTGGGTTCGAATCTCGCAGGGGAAAAGGGATCGTGGATGCGCACTCCTGAGGAGTCTCGCAATAGGACGAAACGGCCGTCCAGTGCTTCCAGGTTTTCCATGGTGGTCTAGCTTCAAATGACTCATGATTTCAACCATTGAAATTACTATAATATCCACAAAACCCATCTGATATCGATTATTTAATTATTAAGTAATAATTCAATCAGTTATGTTCATAACTTTTTTACTGAACTACATTTATATTCTATTTACATTACATCTATCCTTATGGAACAGTTGACAGAAACAATTAATTATAGTGGTTATAATCTTTGTCATTTTATACTTATTTTTTGGCATTTATTCAAAGTCACGTTTTTTTAAAAAAAAATCGAAATATCGTGAACTTATAAGATTATTAATATATTTAGAACAATAATTCTATGGCACCATTATCTCTTATGTAAAAACAGATCTTTCTAAACAGATAGAAATTACTGGTTGGATATATTTACCAGATGAAATAAGTTACTACAAGGAACTCCATGTATTATTTTCTTAAGATGACAGTGTTATTTATTAATTCTGCTTATGAATAACTAGAGATTTGGTGCTATAGAGGTAGGTTTAAAGTTTTATTTCGGAAACAAAGATTACAATAGAAACTATAAGAACAGAAAAACATAATGAACTGAAACTAGTTTATGTGGTACACTACATTTTCAAAAGTAGGAGAAAAATGAATCCTTCTACGAACATAGAGAATTCAAATTTTAAGTCAACACAACGAATAAATTCATCTACATTAAATGGATTGATTTTAAAGTATTGCATTTTAATTTTCTTAGAAGCATGGTGAAATTTCACAGTTTGGCTTTATTATTGAAACAGCAGTGATATATATATATATATATATATATATATATATATATATATATATATATATATCCTGGAGTTCTAGTGAGAAGCAGGGATCAGTGAATTTCAACCCGGTCAGTTGTGAGATCGAAACTCACTGATGACAATGGTGGATATGTCGCTCAATTTTGTGGATTAGTTGAAGTTAGATATTAACAACGTAGGACCCCGACCGACTCAATGGTCCAGAGTTTAAGTGCTTACGCACGAGACGAGTAGGTCCTGGGTTGGAATCCCGCGGGGGGCGGGATCGTGGATGCGCATTGCTGAGTAGTCCCACAATAGGACGAAACGATCGTCCAGTGTTTCCAGGATTTCCATGATGGTCCAGCTTCAAATGACTCATGATCCCAACTATTGAAGTTACTACAACATCCACAAAACCCCTTTTGATATATATATATATATATATATATATATATATATATAATGGAAGTAACTTCTTTCAGTTTTCAACAGATTCATTTAACAGACAACCATGTATATATTGGAACTCCATCTTTTAGCCTAGATAGTAGATCTTCGAACGAATGGCTTACATATTGACAAATTTACCTATGGCAATAGGTAATCTTAGTTCAAACCCTATGACGAGTATTGTGTCCTAAAAGACTTGAACTACATTTCATTAGTGAGTAATCATGCTGAAGAATTTTTTTCTACTCGATGGCTATACGAAATATGTGGAAGGTGTCATATTTTGTAACTAACAGTACAAATGTTAGGCATTGCGTTAACGATTAATAAACTTAATAGCTTTAAGGTGAAACTAATGATAATATTGTTGATATTGTGGAAAGTCAATATTCATGAATATGAATAAAGCATTAAATTCTAATTAGGACGTATTAATACATTATAATTACATAATTGTATTTAGCTTACATGTTACTCGATTCACATTTGATTATTCTGATAGTAATGTAATAAAATGTGAACTGTGTTCTATATATATTTTGTTGAACTGTGACTACTTATTAGGTTCTGGTCTACAATCCTTATCTTAGTTATATAATGGAATTTTTATAATATTCTTCAGTGTTAATACTGACATACCTACAAATATATAAAACTGATTAACAGGTCTAAGAATTCAGAACCATAATAAGTGAGTAGATAAATCGGAGAAAATATAAATTAATCTGTATAAAATCTCTTTTAGTACGTTTTTTTTAACAACAATACGTTGAATTTACTTCTTTGTATGAGTACTGAAAACAAATAAGTTGAAGTAACGAAATAAGCTTCAGTATGTTATGTTTATGCAACAAAACATTTCCCCTACTTATCAGTATTTATTATCAACAATTGTGACTGAAATACAAAATTCTCCCCTACTATACTCTGTCCATCATAGTAACCGACACTAATCAATCAATGTTCTAACAAACAGAATATTTAACAGTGTGTTCAGATATGTTAGTTTGATATTACATAACTAAAAATATTTTCATATATGCTGTTATTTAATTTCTACTTTTTAATTAAGTGACTATATTATGTCTGAATCCATAGTAAACTGATCAGTTTATATTGATTAAAAGGCTCAAGAAATGTATTAATCTAGTTAAAACATAAAGAGTTTTCTTTTAAATTCACATTTTCATCATTATCGTTAATTTTGTAGGAAAAATGTAACTTTTTCTATATTCAAGTCGTATCTGACATAAACCAACTGGAGCAATCCAGTTTAGAGTTTAATTAAAAATACCTAACATGAATTCACTTGGTATCGTTTGACTTTTATCTTCCCATTGAGGTTTAAGACTGCGCTTG